TGTTGAGTAAAATATTTGAGTTTACACTTTTGACTGACACATTCAAGAAAATCATCTTGGCTATTAGAGATTGCCCTAAATGGAATAGTTTGTGTGCAATAAAAGTTAAGGTGCAAATTTGAGGTTATTGTGAAATACAATGAAAGTCAATTTTGGTGGATATAAAAGCATAAATTGTTGTAATAATTGTAAAACTAGCATGTTAGTTATGTTTTTAAAACTGATGCATTACAGTATTTGAGTAAAATTGTAGTAAAAATTGTAAAAGTAAATATTGGACATAAGTTATTTTTTTAGAACTACAGTCATGCTTATTGTTTATACTTGTGACTAAACTAACGAAGCAGTGAATAATTTTACATTTATTGATTAGCCCTTTTCTCTTCCATTTATTTTAAATTTGCAACCTAGAATTTTCCTTTTTTTAAAGGAAACGGGACAAGTGGACATTTTTTTTGTGGTGTTAATTGACATGTTACAAATGCTGTTGATTGAGCATAACTTGCGTTAACCCTCTGGGCTTCTTCGTAAATGGGTTACACTTAGCTTCCTCCCGGTCAAAAACGGACGAAGCCTTAAAATTTTACTTTACTTCTTCCCAGGATAACCATTAAAATATATTTTTGTTCTATAATATTTTATGATTATTATTTAGAATTTTTAGAATTTTTTATGATACTTTGCATTAATTATATAATTTTTATGAGCTATTTTTTCCATTAGAATTAATATACATATTTTTATTTTATATTGTTTTTTATTTTTTTTTCAATAAATACAACATTTCACATCAAAATAGAGTGTCAGCTAATAAAAAAAAAAAATAATTCAAGTAGAAGAGCGCCACCTAGTGGCTTTAAAAAATAGTTACATGTGTGCAATGTCCTGTACAGCCTGTAGGCTGCCTATAGCTTCCTATTCAAATACATAGAAAGGCTTTTTGATTCTTTTTGTTGGTTTAGACATGATTTCTCATGTCTGTGTGCGTGTGTGTGTGAGTGCGCATTTGAGCAAGATTTTTCTCATTTATTGATTTTAATTTTTCATATTCTACAAATTTGCTGGTGCAGTCTTGCCAGTTTATCTGTGTATGTGTGTGTGTGTGTGTGTGTGTGTGTGTGTGTGTGTGTGGGGGGGGGGGGTCTTATTTGCACTCTTGATGTTCTAGAGTGTCACCCCTTCATTGCTGTACACTTTTTTTCTGCACAGTTGCTGATCTGTAGCTTGTACCACCAAAAGTTTCTCTGAGTTTTCCTATTTTTTCGTATTTCCCATTCATTTCCTATGTCGGTCATTTTTGACCGGAAGGAAGCTAAGTGTGACTTTTTTTTTTACGACCCTTTAACAAATCAGAATCATCTCCTTGATTTTTTTGTGTGTTCATATAGGTAATACAACAAAAGTCACCAAGTTTCAGCCCGATCCGATCAAGCAAAAAAATTAAACATTTCAAAACTTAACAGTTTTCGGTCATTTTTGACCGAAGAAGCCCAGAGGGTTAATACCGGAATACTCTCTTAAGTGTTTTTCGGCAAAGGGTTGATTACTTTTTCTTTTTTTTTGCCATTGGGCATTTGAGCAGCTGAGCTTTAAATTTAGAACAATCTGTGGTGTCATTTGGACACCACACGTCTTGCCGTAAAACTTGTTGTCATGCAGGCTTCAGAATGCTATCTGGAGCTCATGCTGGGTGGTCTTGTGTTTTAGCAAGACAAAGATATCTGCCACACCCTGATCATATACTAATTCTACATTTGTCTCAACAGGTGTGACTGTATCAAGGCCACTGTATTGTAAGGTAGCGATGCTTGCAACACTGAAAAATGAACCTTGATGGATCTTTTTAGTTAAAACACCAAAAGAAATGACAATATGTGGTTGGTCAAGCTCAGATCTCGTTGATTGCTATAATATGTCGCTTGCTGTTTGTGATTCTTAGCATTTTGTGATTTGTAAGGGTGCATGGCCACCATGATAGCACTTACACCGTGAAGCACCCCTCCTTCATTACAGATAGGCCTACACTCTTGAGTGTCTTGTAAGCGGGTCTATCGTGCTTGATACTGTGAGTGGCTGGCTGTATAGTTTAATTGGCTGAACTGGGCATGCATCCTACAGCTCTTAAAAATGTTAATAAAAACTAAGCACTGACTTGCACAAGCCAAAACCTGACATGTTTATTGATATAACAACTGTTAGGAAGAATGTTCCCTCTTCTCCTAATATCACATAAACAAGACCAGCATACGTGAATGTACACTTATGTATTTTGTTTGCTTTCTACAAATGAGAAGCACAACATTCTTTTTTAACATGTATGAAAACGAATGTCTTTAATTGTTTAAAGTGTACTGAACAAAATACCCCTTCTACTTATAAAAGCAACACACGATGACAGTAGCGACATCCTGTTTTCCAAACTTTTTTGTCTGAGACTTTTTGTATGAGTATAGAATGAGCGCATCCCAAACCATGTATATGTATGTAATTTGGGGTTTTAAAGTAATTTAGCTGTTAATGCTAAAATGCAAACAGTATCCAAAAAATGTGTTTTCACGGTATTGTTCTGTGCAGAGACTTTTGTTGTGGTACATCATCATTATCATCATCCGTATAACAGGGAACACTGATCTTTGAGGTGAATGAGGTCATCCTAGACAATTCGTATAAATATTGTTTCTCATAGCCAGATCTCTGATTAAACCTTGTGGACATAACTTTGTTTCCAGTTGGACTGATAAAAACGTTGTGTTGCATAAAGTCAGCCAGTCAAATCTGAGTTCGCCAGATTGGGAAATTACTTTCCTGTTTTTAAAGTGTCTGAATGCTTACATTTTATGCATCAATTTATTTAAAAGATTCATACCTTTTGTTCATACATTTTTATACAGACTTTAATAAATGTTCTGCATAATATGCATTAAGTCATGTTAAAAATCCATAAATTGTCAAGAAATTTCTTCAGTTGAAAAGAAATTGAGGTTTTTGATGAAAACATTCCAGGTTTTTCTCCATATAATGGACTTCATTGGGAACCAAACGGTTCAAGGTCCAAATGAGAGTTTCAGTGCAAACTGCAAACTGTTCAAAGGGCTTCCTTTAAACGATTGCAGACGATGAATAAGGGTCTTATCTAGCGAACTGATTGGTCATTTCAAAATTACATAAAAAAATTAAGTTTTATAAGCACAAATGCTCGCCTTGCTCTGTTCTGTGATGAGCGTTCATGACTTTCCTGTTCGAACTCGTTCAAAATGAACAAATCTTTTTTCGAGTCATGACTCGAGGGGTCCTAGATAAGACCCTTATTCATTGTCTGGAATAGTTGAAAGCCCTTTGAAGCTGCACTGAAACTCTCATTTGGACCTTGAACCGTTTGGTTCCCAATGAAGTCCATTATATGGAGAAAATCCTAGAATGTTTTAATCAAAAACCTTAATTTCTTTTCAACTGAAGAAAGAAAGACGTGGACATCTTGGATGACATGATGGGGGTGAGTAAATTATCAGCAAAAGTTTTTTTTAAAAGTGAACTACTCCTTTAACATGGTCACCATGGCAGAATGATACAATTAGATATTGTAGAATGCAGGAGGATTCTAGTTCGATGAAGTTGGTCAATTGTTATTTTTCAACCTCAAAAGGCATATATTGAGATATTACACTTGACATATCTAATATTTCACAATTTGTGTGGCAGTGAGATCTGGTAATCAGACTGACTTCTGGATGCCCTGACAGCAAGCATAAACAGAGATCTGGGAGAGTGATAACAGTGGCTCCACCTAACGAAAGTGACACAACAGAGACCAAATGTGCTCTCCGGATTTCTGAACCGCTCTAATCCATTCGATGG